AAAGGAAATTTTATAGATAAAGGAAAGTTTGGGGAAATCTGAACACATTTTTCTCTGTTAATGGTTGAAAAATATTTTGTAAACTTTGGTTGCAGTTCTACTATGTCATAAAGCTAGAATCTGCCAATTATTTTTCTTTATAAAAATGCACATATTTTTCTAAATTGCACACTTTACCAAAAATTTCTTTTCACCAAGTTCTTTGCTTTTATATAAAAAGTTTCTGCTATTGCTGCTCACTTAGGGATGAAGAGGTGAGAAATGGGGCCTGAGCCTATGTAGGAGTTAACCCACTTGCCCAGCATCTGCTGCCGTGCAGGAACACAGTGGTACCTAAGGAGGGAGACCCGTGCAATGAGTGTGTCTTTGTCCATTCTATACTACTACAATTGAACACTTAAGACTAGGGGATTTATAAAGAGCCAAATTTATTGGGTCATGGTGATAGAGACTCTAAAGTTCATAACTGAGGCGGTGCATCTGATTCTTGCTGTGTCATAACATGGCACAAGGCATTGTGTAGGAAGCAAGAAAGCAGGAGAGGGTCAAACTGGCTTTCTACCAAGCCCATTCTCATGACAACAGCATCCATCCAGTCATGAGGGCACCTTTCTTAAAGGTCCTATAGCCCAGCACGTGCATTCTGGGGACACACTCAAATCACAGCAGAATCCACCCATCCTGAGTCAGTTGATTTAAATGCCATGTCTTCTGTGAACACTTCCCTGTGTCCCTAAGCCTGGGTTATGGCTCTTCCCATATGTTTTCATGGAACTCTCTGGTCTACCATCATAGCAGCTTGTAGGTTGGTTCTTTTCATTGTTTGAAAAATTATGTGTTCCTTGGGAAGTGACTGTCTTTTTCATTGTCATTAACCCAAAATCTAGCAGAACACCCAGCAGGAGGTAGTTCTGCAAGCATTTCTGAGTTATGTGACTAATGTGAAGCTTACAGAGAAGAATATTTCAAAGATAAATTTACTGGTATAATCCAGAAGTTAAAAAAATCAAATTATTTTATGAGTTGCAAAATAGGAGCCTCTTTTATTTTCTAGGGATATGGAGAATTTGGGAAAATGGCTTTGACTGTAGCATTAAGGCTAACATCCTCTCAGTTATGATGTTTTATAACACATAAATTTTAATTTGGGTTGATGAAAACAGATAATACACAGCAGACTTAAGATTACCTTTATTTTTGAACTTTTATATCTAATAACGTTCAATTGTTTATGATGGTCCAAGAAGAAAAGTGCCAGAATAATATATACTATAGTGGATGCTGTTGATACCCTGATTAGATCCCCTTTATCTGGCAGCAACCCCTAACTTCTGTGAATGTTGACTGCTACCAATTTTCCCCTTCCCAAAAGAATCACCCTTGGAAATGCCATATCTGTCCCTGGACAGTGACTTTCCATGGGTCAACTCTGATCTGTAATTCATACTCCAGAGCTTCTCATGGCCTCAGGCTGAGAACAAACTTGAGATAATTCACTTCTCCACCTGGATTCTTGTGTCCTCTCCTGCTTCTTTCACTGTTACAAGTTTCTTTCAAGAACACTCCTGCAATAAATCAGCTACACAAGAATCCATTTCCAGTTTCCTTGGAAACTGCCCCTTTTAAATTTAATATATTAAATGCTTTAATGTATTAGTAATATATAGACATCTGTTTTTTTTTTTTACATTTTATCAACCTAAATGAAAATTTTAGCTTCTGAGATTAGACAATTCCTGACATCTTTCCTACATTCTTTTAGAGGGTTCCAGATCAAGGAGGATTGATGCCTGCATTTCCCCCTGCCCTATATATTTCCATACTCATCATATCTCCAAGAAACATTGATTTATTTATCATGATAAGCAGAATACTTCTTCTAGGAGCTTCAATTTTATTTAAGTTAAATGTTTATTAGTACCTATTTTATGCCAAAAATGTGCTAGGAAGGTGTTATAAATGTAAGAAAGAATAACATAATTTCTGCCCTAAAAATAGGAAGTAGAAATTTCAACTTCTGGGGATACTGATGTGAAAGAACACAGAGCAGACATCTTTTTTAGGATGCATTTGTTCCCATTAAAATACTAGGTCTATCGATACCCAGCACCACATATACACAAAAAAGTCTTAAAATACTAGGTCCTCCTACTACAAATTAAGCTCCTAGGTAAGAACACATTACATGATCTTCTCTTCCAGGTGAAACACTCAGAGTCTATAGATTAGGTGAACTGAAACCTGTTCATAGCAGTGTCCTTATAATGTCATCATAGACCCTGGGCACAGAGCGATGTTGCTTTTTTAAACTCCTTTGCACATAATGGGGAGAAGAGTGCAATGTGTTATTTCCTGTACATCCTCCTTGGAACAATGTAATTTTCTGCAGGCTTCTTTTAAAAAAATCTGTCATGGCTCTCCTCCCTCTGTGATTAAGTTTGTCCCTCTTTGTATTTGCATTTTTTTCCCTTATGGCATGGCCTAGAAACAGTCAGGGAAGATGTTTGGATTGCTGGGCAGTCACAGTGGCTGGGTGTCATGTGTGGGCTCACATGTGGGTGCATGTTCCCTGCCTATCTTGTGCTAGAAGACATTTAAGACAGGAAGCAAGAGAAGCCCTTTTAAAAATGTTATCTTAACTTACTGAATATGTGTCCAAAGGCCATTTTTTTTTCTTATGAGAAACTCAACTAATAAAAAGGAATATGTTATCAAAAAGTTTTTTTTTGACAGCTAGATTTCGTAACTTGTTCTTGGCTCCAAGTTTTCTTACTTGGAGTATGAGGGATTTGGACAGAATGAGTTCTAGATTTCTGTTCATCTCTCACCTATTCTGATTTTTATATGCCTTTCTTCCTGGACATGCTACATTTAAATTCCCTTTGAAATGATTTTTTTTTTTTTTTGAGGGCTGGGGATATAGCTCAGTTGGTAGAGTGCTTGCCTTGCATGCACAAGGTCCTGGTTCAATCCCCAGCACCCCCCACCCCAATAAAGTTCATTTATTTAAAAAATAAATGAATAAATAAAATAATAACTTTGTTTCCCTACTAAGGTCAGATTAACTTTTGTTGTTTCATTAGCAGATCCAAGGCAGGTTGTATGTGTGTAACTTAATCTGTATCAGGGCTTACCACTGGAGACTTCTCAAATTTATTACTATTTTTTACTACAGCAAAAGAACAGAAATAGTAAAAAACACAAAGAAAAATAATACTAGCTTTTATATCAATATTGGATAACACTATAACCCTAAAATCTAAGTGGTTTTTTTAGTTGTAGATAGACACTATACCTTTATTTTATTTATTTATTTTTATGTGATATTGAGGATCAAACCTAGTGCCTCACACATGCTAGGCAAATGCTCTACCACCTGAGCTACAACCCCAGCCCTCTAAGTGGTCTAAAGCAATACAATCAAATAGAATGAAATAAAATAAAACTGTATTGCTTGTTGACAGTCCAGTGCTGTCCTCAAGGCTAGGTGGAGGAGAAAGGAGGGCATTTTTCTGCTCCTCACAGTCATTCGGGGACTTTGGGTCTTTCTTGGAACACACTTATCTTCAACATGTGACTTCTAAAGTTGCTTTGGAAGGGGAAAAAAAAAGTAGAAAATCACTCAAGGAAATGTTTATGGCTAGAATTGGAAGTGGCCCCTTTGTATTAGCCAGAATTCAGGCATGTGGCTCCAAACTAATTGTGAGGAAGCTTCAAAACCTAGCCAAGCAATGTACCCTGGAAGACCAAGGAAGCCAGGAATGCAGGAGGGCTCTAGCTTTCTCTTCTTTCTCTGGAGTGATGAATATAAGCCTGAGGTTGAAGTGATGAAAGAGCCTTTATAACCAGCATTTTTCATATACAGACATCCTACCCTGCTCCATGCCATCTCTCACAGCGTCTCCTGTCCTCATTCCACTGACCTTTACCATTTTTTACTTGACATTTTGTGGTGGGAGAGATAATGAGAATATGGGTGAGGTTCCCCAAGAAGATGCATTTTCCTAAGTAAAATAAAGAAAAGAGCAGCTCATAAAAAGATTGGAGAGATGTCAGAAAGGGAGTTGAGAGAGGCATTAGGAAAACTGGATGAGGTAGAGTTAAATTGATATTAGATGAGAAATGATGATTTCAATAGAAGTCAAGTCCCATTGTGAAAAGTCTGTTTGTCCTTGCAGTAGGAGGTAATGTTTTGAACAAAATTTTATGAACTTATAAAATTTAGATTGAAGACCTCATCTTATGGTAACTGCATTGGAAAATCCAGCAGTCACAATTAAGAACTAAAATCATTTAAGTAAGTCATTCCAGCTCTTATATACTCACATAACCCCCACACACATACACACACACAAATATCCAATAACTTAGGAAGATGCTTTTAAAAAGAACATCCATCATTTTCTTTCTGCCTTACACTCTTCCAGCATGGAATGGAAACACACATGTCTCCATTTGTAAGCCCATGATGACAGACATCACCATGTCAGATCCATATCGTTGGAGTAGAAAGCTTCTCCTGTTCTCATTTTCTCTCCCAGTCTACTCCTGGAGTTGCAGAGTTTTTAATATTGCAATTTTCCTGTTGCAATAGAGGTTTCTTATAGGTATTCCTTGCTTAAGAACCTTAGGTCGTGAAAGACACTAATTCATCATTTTGTCTGGTTATTAACTACAAAAAATTGATCCTCCTCATTTGTTATGCATGGTTTAATAAAAACATTTTCTTGAAACAAATTCCTGTTTAAGTTTATAAGTGGCATTTTTTTTACACCCAAAATTCTTGCACTGAACAATTTTGTGGAGCCAACAGACACAAAGGTCTTGCCAAGAATGATTCTCATGAAGAGTTTGAAAACAGTGAATCCTTGGTAGTCCAGAGTGAATCCTTGGTACTCCACCTCCCACCCACCACAGATATTAAAAAGAATTAGATGAGCCCATTCTGAAAGTCATGTAAAGTACCCCCTTAGTTGACACAATGTGTTTCTTTTCCCCAGGGATTTCCTGGAAAGGATGGTTCCTCTGGCCCTCCAGGACCACCAGGGCCCATTGTAAGTATTTCCAAAAACTACTGGGTGTACTCTTCTTTAAGTAATTTCATTTCTTTTGAGAATTTTCTTTCTGTCAGAACTTTCACTCAACAGTCATCTCTCCTATGGTATAACAACTTGCCCCTTGGTATAGAGCTCACCTTAAAGCATCCTTTAAAAATAATATATCCATATGGCTTGATAATTCTATCTCTGAGACACTGCCACCTTTATTGATTTATCTTTTAGTCGACACAGGTAAGGCTTGAATGTGAAAGAACCATACCTGGCCAATAGTGTAGAGACTTAACATCTTCCCATCTTTGGCAGTTGGGAATGGAAATGAACAGAGCTCAGAAGCCTTGATGATAAGGGGTAGGGGGCTGTCATGTGTTTGTTACCCTTGCTTGAAAGTTGGCTGTCATAGATGAGAATGTGTGAGTCCTCACCTTTGTTCCATTTTCCTGCCTCTCTATTAGGGCATTCCTGGAGCCCCTGGAGTCCCAGGGATCACAGGCAGCATGGGACCACAAGGCGCCCTGGGGCCACCGGTGAGTTTGTAGCAGTCGCTGATCAGTCACCACATTATTTCTGTGTCTATATTTGCTGCCACCTCCATTGGTCAGAAACATTTATTTAGTATTGGACTCTAGGATTCCACAAAGGAACCTGGAGAAGCTCCTAGAATAAAAATTTAAGTTTGGGATGTGCATATGTCATGGCCATAGTCAAACAATCCTGATGGAATGATCAATCATGATTTTGCTTCTATGTTTCTGTTGCTTGCTATTCTGTATTTGCCTAAGTTAACTCAATGTTATCCTTGCAAGGATTTGGTACATCAGCTAGGTGTTAATCAAGTCTGGTTCCCAAGAGAAAAAAAACACAAAGCTCAAGGAATTCATGGTTTAATGAAAGTAGGAATAGATTTTGCTTTGCTAAATTCTACCAGGAAGACAAAACTTTTCATTAAAACAGATACTCATAAATGATCAGTGGTGTAAGTGGAAGCACAATGACCAGTTCCTTACCTCCCATTTTTGTGCTGCTTGTCTCCTGAGTTGGTGTTTAAATGTAAACAGTGTGAGGGGATGGGTTCGGGAAGATGGGGAAGATGTGGATGGGAGGGAGGACCAGTGAACACATCTGTTTCCTCATTTGTAAATGAGGTGATTGCATTCTGAGGCCTCCGAGGCTACACTTCCTATCTTCTATGACTTGCAGGCAGTTCCTTCTAGGTATCGGTACTAGCAATCTGGTATCATCTGTGTTGTGCTAAGTCCATGACCATAAATGAAAGCAAATGAAGTACAGGCATGTATTACAGAAAACATGCTGAGAGGTTGTGGCACAGTGTAATCTGATGGATGAGGATAGAAAAAGGTGATGGGTTAGATTTCTATTGATTCTTAATGGACTATTGCAATCTCAGCGGCTTGCAACAACACAGATTTACTGTCTTACTGGTCTGTAGGTCACAAGTCTAGCCCTGGTCTCACTGGGTTAAAAGCATGGTGCTGGTATTTCCTTTCTGGAGGCGCTAGGGAAGAGTCTAATTCCTTGACTTTCTGACTTCTAAACACTGCCCACATTCCTTGGCATATGGCCCACTTCCAGCTTCAAAGCCGACAGTGCTGTCTGCATCTCTCTGACCCTTTCTCCAGAGTCACATCTCTCTCTGATCACAGAGGAAAGGTTCCTGCTTTTAAGAACCTAAGTGATCACATTCGGCCTACCCAGATAATCTTAGATAATCTCTCAGATAATCCTCAAGTCCTTAACTAAATCCCATTTGCAAAGTCCCTTTTGCTGCATAAGGTGACACATTCACAGGTTTGGGGATTAAGTGTGAACATTTTTAGGGGCTTTTTCCTGCCTGCCATGGTGAACAAGACTTCACAGAAGTGTTGGCTCTAATTCAGAAGGTGCCTCTCTTTCTCTCTCTACCAGTTAGTCCTGTTACTGCTTATTCTTGAATCTCATTTCAATAAAATCGTTTTATCCTCAGAGGCCTTTGCAGGCTATGATTCACATGGAACATACTCACACACACACACAAGGTATGCACATAAAAATGCATCTGGATTTCAGCAGACACATTCTAACTTGTATTTGAAAATAAGTGCTATCCCTAGCAGTCACTTTCCAAAGCAGTATACTTATTCCAGCTGCATTGTAGTTGTCCAAAATGCTTTTACATCTCTTCTTTTTAAATCAAACTATCAGGTCACAGAAGAAAACTGGATAGCTTTATCTTCAGACATTTTATTATTTTTAATCCAAAAAGATGTTATTAAGCATGATTGTGTACATAGAAACATACACTGATACCCTCATGTGAGCACTTACACACACACAAACAGTCTCTGTTATCATTTCATCAGAAGCTTATCATTTCATTTGATTCTAGGCTGTTCATTTTTAGGAAAGAGACTTACAAATGTTCTGTCTGCTACTAGGCTTCAGTCTGCTTTATAAACTGTGCTTCTAGAAGCTAGAGTTCCAGAATATGTCAGCAGTACTTAGGGACCAACGGGTTCTGGTCAAATAAGTGTTAAAGGCAGTTCATATGTAGCCCAAGAAAGGTATAGGAAACATTAGGCTAGCAAAGACTTCAAGGCATTCTGAAATACAACCAGAAAAATACCAAAGTACCACTTGAACTTGGTTAGGCAATAAACAGACGTATTTGTACCCCAGGGGATCTTCTTGTTCTTATTGGCGTCTCCTAAAACTAGTTTCCCTTAATTAAGCTAGCAAAGATCCTGATGCAAGAAGGATTGACTAGGAAAGGGCTAAGGAATAAAGAGCAGGAGATGGGGTTTCTGGGGAAGTTTTAGTGGGGTGTGGAGTGGTAGAGTAAGACCTGGAATATGTTAATAAGTATAACGTCACCTCACGAACTCACCTGGCATTTTGTGGTGCAGAATTGGACTCAAAATATGGGGCATACAGAAATACCTGGCTGGGCATACAATCTCAGCTACTCAGAAGGTTGAAACAGGAGGATCACAAGTTGGAGGGATAGCCGGAGAAACTTTAGTGATATACTGTCTTAAAAACAAAAAATAAAAAAAAGTTTGAGGATGTAACTCAGTGATGGAAAGTCTGGTTTCAATGCCCAGTACTGAAAAAATAACAGTATTTTTTTGCTCATAAATAAAACATTTGTTGGTGGTATTTTTGTTAAAAATCAGCAGAAAAGTAATTGTCAGAGATGGAAACCATTTGGTCTATAAATACTGGGTGAGGATCCACAGTAGGATTTCCCATCAGGAGCAAGTTGTTCTCTGAACTGTCCAGCCAGGCTTTCCCCTGCCTGGGGCTGCCATTGCTCACATGCCTGCTGGTTGCCAGGCTGGAACAGTGCTAAAGCAGACTCCGTGTCATGGTGCTGAGACCTTCATTGATTTCCCGTAGATGTCTGTCTAGGAAGGCGAGGGAAAGAGACCAAGAGGGACAGACTGTACCACTGAAAATAGCAACGTGCTTCCCACAGTGAGTGCCAGAAATGCTTGCTTTCCTGTATTCCGCCTCCAGCTGCCAGCTCCCAAGGACAGATGTGCATTAGTGTTGCTGAGTTTTTAAGCACCGGCTTGAATACAGTGCCTCCCTGCAGTGGGGCAATGCAGGATGGGGGTCATGACAGAAGGGCATCCTTGCTGCTGGGGCCAGGTGCTTAGCTTGATCTCAATATAGGTAGGCCATTTAAAAGTTCTTTGTTAGAATTCAGGATTCATGGGTTCTAGATGTGACTCTGGCCATCTGACTATGGGAGGCACATCACTTAAAGAAACCACCGAGCCTTTCTAAACATCAGGTCTCTAAATCAGTCATTTATATGTGATGAGTAGGCTCATTGTGTGCAGGATTACATGGTGCATAGGAGGGAGTCATGAAGGGTATAAGAGGTGACCAAGACTATTGAGTTAAAGTGGCCCTTTCCCACTTTAACTCTGTCAATGTCCCTTCACTTGGAAAGTTTAGAGAGAAGGGCATTTTAACATAAGAAGCTATAATACAAGGCAGAAAATGTGAAGTGCCTCAAGGGAAAGACAAGGAATTTTCTATGAAAGTTCCATTGAAGGAGAGAAGTGAGAGAGGGGAGAGGAGAGGAGAGAATGCCCTCAGCTGCGGGTGGTGTAAGGGCTACAGAAGGATGCAGCCATTTCAGTGGGATCTTGAAATATGGGTAGAATCCCCACCTACAAAGACAGGCAGATGGCCTCCATGGATGGGGATGAGGAAAACACAAGGCAAACACAGGAGCCCCATGTTGTTTGCACATGTTGTTATTTTTAATTTCAGCTCTCTCATGGCGACCCTGGTTTTATTTCAGGCCCTTGTCATTCCCCACCAATCCCATCGCAGGAAGCTCTAATGGGGCCTGGTCCATCTCCTAGCTGATGGAAATCTTTAGGACAACTCTGATGTGTCATTCCTTGGCCCAACTCTCCTCAGTGGACCCCAATCCCTAGAGGCTAGGTCCCATATGTTCAATGTAGTACACATGGTTTCTCCATGGCCCTTTCCCACTTTAACTCTGTCATTGTCCCTTCACTTAGAGTTGAGTCACATCAAACTGTGTCAAGCTCTCCAAATATATGCCTCTGTGTCCAGTGATTTTTTTTGTTTGGGGGATGTTTTTGCTGTCTGGGATGCTCTCCTGCCACCATCTGGTGAGCCCCAGGTTTTTTTGACTTTAAGTGTGTGTGTGTCCCCTTGTAGGAAGCCACCCTCACCTCCGTAGGATGTTGGTATCTCCTCCAGTGTTGATGTCTATCTTTGCACAGCAGTAATGGCTCCTTAAGGGCAGAAATTTTTCATGCTTATCTTTCTAGACCTCAGCTCACTCTCTGATACAGAGAGTACTTCATATGTAAGGAGAGATGAGAGAAGGAGCTGGTGGGGGGAGAGGAAATGAACATTTGTGTGTTGTGTTTTAGTTAGGCTGATGTTCAGGGGAGTATTAGATTATTCTTATAGATGAGGGGTCTCTGAAGACCTCTGAAGCCAGCCTAGGAGGTTTCAGTTTTGCTTAGCAGGCATCTTTAATATGTGGAACTTGGACCATGAGATCATTTCTCTTCCTTCCAGTGCTAAAATTCTTTGCATCTATGAATGTAGCTACTGTATTCTCTTTTCTTTACATTTCAAGTGTTCCTGAAATGAAAGGAAAATGTGCCACTTTTTCCTGCCGACATCTGCAGGGACTGTGTGTTTTCCCTCAAAGCATACCTTGGTGGAGTTATGGGCCTTCACTTGCTCAGGAATTTTTATTTTGTTTTTGTTTGACTTTGCAGAAATCAAAGGAAAGATGTCAGAGAAGTTGGAATAAAAAATAATTTCTTGCCATACTCATATTTCGCTAAAAAGATCTTTCATCGAGACTGCCTACTATGTCATTTAGCTACTTAATAACAAGCATCATGAGACTGAATTTGAAGAATTTCAGGCCCAATTAAGCAGCTCCATCTCTATCTACCAGAAAGTGCCAATAGTGGATGCTGCTATTGACCTTACAATCAGCTTGGCACTGTGATTTCTTTCTCTAAATTTGAAACATTTTCAAACAAGCCAACATAATAAATCATAGCAATGGAAATACCAAAAGTTGTACTGATGCAAAAAAAAATATTGAAGGTAAAATGGATTTTTAAAATGACTCAATTTCTGAGTTACTAGAATTAGTTTTGGTGGATGGTATGTTTGCTTGTTTTTGTTTTGTTTCATTTTGTTTTAATTAGGAAAATATCATCTTCACTGGAATGGAAGATATTGACTAGCAGATGTGCTAATTAGTGCCTTCTTCCAGCAAAGTGTAGCTTGTACTTGAAGTACATGGATTCTGGATCCCTCAATTTGGGCTCTGTTTTCTGCTCTTCCATGTCTCTCTTATGTCGTGACCTCCCACAGGTCATGGTGCATCTCATGGTGCATAGTGAAGTTCCTGGTGCATCTTTTCCTAATGTGTAAAATGGAAATACTCTTTCATACCACTGTTATAAAGAACACATGAGTTAATCTTGCAGGAGCATTTCAAGGTTTAAGGGAATAATCTTACAAGACAGTTAGAAGGGTTAACTGAAAGCACTGGAGCAGACCTTGGAATGTAGTAAAAGCAACTTATTTATTACTAGAATGTGCAGTGTCTTAATATATTAAAAATGTGGAATGTGTGCTTATTTTGGGTTGCTGATTTTTCTTTTAGTTTTGCATCTGGTGCTTGAAAAGCCTATTTCTGTTGAGGACTTACTTGGTGGTGACATAAGTAGCTCTAATCTCCAGCTGGACCTATACTAGTGGACATTGCTGCCTCTCTGGAGACTTACTATTTGTGAAAACCTAAGGCATAAGGGAAAAGGACTCAACCAGTACATTTCCAAAAGAGAAGTGAAGCTGGTATGGGAAGAGTGCTATGTAAATCTTGTTTTTTCAAAAAAGTTTTTATAATGGAAATTAAGTATCTTTTTTAGCAGAATCAACACTTTTTCTAGTGCTCTAGAAACTTACACTGCAGTGTGTCTTAAATATTTTTCTTCTCTTTTTTTTTTTCAAGCAAAGTAGTTGAAACGAAACATAAATTGGCTAGGTATGCATACTTGAAGTAAAATTCAAGCATTCATTCACTTGGTGAACACATATTTTTGAGCGCCTGCCATGTTTCAGGCAGTCTTGGGAGCTGAGGACAGAGAAGTCCACAGCCAGGCACAGACTGCCCTATGGAGCTCCCATGCTGAGAAGGACCTACTTTCCCTGTAGAAGTTGGACTCCTTCTCTTTCAAGCACATGCTTTGCATTTTTCATCAATTTCTATTTCTTGTGGTATCTATTGCCAAGTAATAAAAAAAATGACATCCTGAAGAAACTTGCTTTGCATTTTAAGTGTGATTTCTTTGCAGAAAAACTGAACATGACATTTTTTTCCAGTAACTTTTTACAATAATTGTAAAAATTTCTTTAGGGTCAAAGAGTAGCTTAGCCACATTATTAAACAATAACTCAGCTGAGATCTCATGTATATATGAGTGCCTCTATTGTAGAGAATTAGATAGAATTGTGTGCCATTGTGCTGGACAAAAAGCAGAGCGAGACTATGGGATTTCCTAATATTATTTGAACTTGAACTCTCAGGTTGAGAGGAGATTTTTTTCCCTTTCTCTTTAAAGATGCTCTTTTAAAAATTTAAACAGTTTAACTAGTTAGAAGAGATTCCTGAAATTAGTTATGAAATCTCCTTAAGGTTCCATACCTATGGAGTTCAGTGTAGAAAAATGTAAAGGACCTTTCTGGTGAATACATTGGTTACAAAACATTATTGTTGCATGACTTCAATTTCTTAGCCCAAAATGCCACATCTCTTCTGGAGATAAAAAGCCTGGGGGAGTAAATGTTTATGTTTGGTGGGATTATAGGTCACTGTCTGTTTTATTCTTGATGTTGCATAACTATTTTTGCCAAAGTTAAGAAAAATGTCTTTATCAAATAAGAAAAGACGCACTACCACTACTTTTGGCTGAGCAGCATCATAAGTTAACTTGATTATTTTTTTTCCATTTGTATAGGGTCTTCCTGGAGCAAAAGGCGAACGCGGAGAACGGGTAAGTCTCTCTGGCTATTTGGAGCTGGAACTGTTGAACAAGCTATTGCCTAAGCCTGTGAAAGAACTGCATATATCTTCATGGTTACTCATTGCTGTTATACCAATCTCTCTCCCTTCCTCTGCCCTGCTCCTGACTGTTGTTGTTAGCGCATTTCCCAGTAGGAACAGCCCCATGGACTTGAGGTCAGGAGAACTAGTTTCTATTTTCATTTTTGTTCAATGACCTTAGGCTCCATTCTTTAAGGATAAAATGGGCAGAATTAAACTCATTTAATTCACAAAGTGGATTTGACAAGGAAATTATATAATGATGTAGAAGAACTCCCAAAGGTATATAGGTTTATACAGATTCCAAATAATAGCTTTGAATTGTTTTCTTGATGGTCCAATATTGACATCCAAGAAGACAGTAGCTGATGTAGAACTAAAGAACTGGCCCCCAAACTTAAATCAATTTATTTTAGGGGACTTCTTTCAGAAATCGTGCGGTTGCTGATATAGTTGTGTTATTGACTATAACAGAAACAGCCCTGTCTTTAGGTTCATCTGATTACCTCCATGAAGCTTGGGAAATGTGTTTAATGCTGCTCAACTTTAAAATGGGTTTATTGTGTTTCCTCTGAGTTGTTATTAGTATCAAAGGAGCCACTACTTGAGAAAGTGCTATATTTTATGAGCTCTAAAGAAATATAAATGAAGCATTAAACATATATAGGTTTGTTTTAAAACTATTAAATTTTTTGGAACCTGGGACCAGAAATGCTGAGTTTAACTTTTTAATGTAATAAGGACTCTCAGGAACCTTGAACCCTGAGTGCATGTAGCCTACTGCTCTGTGGTGGTCAGTCTGTCTTGTTGCTAGGAGCCTAAGAACCCTGGTGGGAACAATGGGTCAAGTCATCCATATCCTGGTAGACCTGGTACGTGGCTGTGCTTTAGAAGTGTGCTTTTCTCTCATCCAGGGTGACCTGCAGTCTCAAGCCATGGTGAGGGCAGTGGCACGTCAAGTATGCGAACAGCTCATCCAGAGTAAGTGTGTCATAGTTGACCGGGTTTTACCCCCTTGCTGTTCACATGGAGTTTGTCTTTCCTGTGACTGTGAGCCCCAGGAGTACTCCTTGAAAACTTGTTGGTGAAGACTCTGTGAGCTTCAGATGGCCACTTCTGATCCATCTAAGATGTCCTTACAGACTACCCTTGGCTCAACATCCATGGTCCAGGAGCCAATTGCCTGTGTTATCAGTCCAAGATCTCTGGGTTTGCCCATGTGGATTTAATATGACTGACAGGTCAGACCTCATATTCCTTTCTTGCTGTACAGATAGATTTCTTCTCAAGTGTCAGCACTTGAAAGCTGCCAAACTGTGTCTTCAGAGGCTACCTTCATAAAGATGATTCACATTAATTCACATGATTCTTATTCACAAGATTTAAATCAGTATCTCCTTTTTACCTATTTTATATCTGTTATCTTTTGGTTAGGCTAAAGTCCTTCCCTTTATTCCTTAGACTTTATACCAACACACACATACATACACACACGCACACACACACACAGTGACAGGGTAGTTATGACATTGGATGGGACACTTGGGATTTGTGCCAAAGATTATGCTGGAATACAGTTGTTAAAACACTATGTCTTTATTTTAAACTTGCGCCTTTTAATGGGGCTGTATTTCATTTTGCATGTTGCTCCTGCCGACCGACTGTATATATTATCTCAGTAATTTAACCAGAAGGTTGCTAGACTGGTGGACCCTTCTCTTTTCCAAGTGATCTGTTTAATTCCAGAAGAACTGAGTAAAGATAAAATATTCCTTGAAACCCACCCAGCTCTAGCCTAGCTCTGCCATCTAAACCCCACCCAGAGAATACCCTCCTTCTCTAGGACCAACATTAGCAGAGTGGCTACCTTGTCAGCCTCAGGGTTACAATTATTTTAATCCAGGAAAGTTAGGGAGTGAGGCCAGGAGACCCCTGAAAACGTCCAAGGAGTGCCTCCTAATGGCCTGATCCAAACTTCCACCTGAGTTCTGAGATCTCCCTCTCTGGAAGGCGTGGAGTGAAGTTCCCTTCATGAACTTGGAAGAGCTTTCATTAAGACACAAATATCAGGACAAACTGAGGACAAAATCTACTATCTTAAGACACAGAGTCTTGCTCCCTGTATTTTAACTCAATTTAATTTAAATAAGTGTCCAAATTAAATGTATAAGGAGAAACAACTTACCAGTTAAATGATACTGTTTCAGTTTTGTGCCAAAACAGGTTCTTTAAAACCAATACCGTAGAAAAGGGAAATTGAACTTGAATCTCTTCTGGAGTAGAATACATTCAAAACTCTCCCATCTCCTACATTATTTCATAGGTTTCTCATTTTAATACAGCGTATATGAATAGACCATTATAATAAGAAACCTTACATGACTTGCTGACCATCACATGAAGAAAACTTCACAATATTTGTTGCCTTATTCCACAATAAAAATGAAGCCTTTTATAATATATGATTATTTAAAAATGGAGGGCTCAAAATTTATTTTTCTCCCTTAGGAATTCTCACATTGTTGTGAATGACTTCAAGGAAGTAGAGTCAGGGAGTTGAGACAAGAAAGTTTTAAACACGTCTGTAAAACAGGGAATCCCTGCCAGTCAGTACAGCTTGGAGATGGAAGAGATTGTATGCAACCCACTCAGAGACTGTATTTCTGGCAATTCAGTCATCCTCCTTAATATGGCTTTGGTCTTCCTCTGGGTTCCCTATTTTATTTCTTAGGCTCCTGCTCAGGACTTGATTTATCAGTTAGTGTATAATTCCTTACAAGCTCAGTCATCTGCTTTTTAGTTTTCCATTAACCAGAAGAATTATGCTAAGAAGACTCACTTGGGAAACTTCGAGGCCAAAGTGACAACAGCTGGGGATGTGATAAAGGACAGCCCTGGTCAGTGAAGGAAGCTGAGAAAGCAGATGTGGACACACTTACCTGCTGCAAGTGGGCTATGCCTACAGAGAGTCCTCAAGTCTCCAGGAGAGGGTCCCTAGTTGCAGTCACAGTCCAACTCTTTAAGACGGCATTGGAAACATTTTAGAAGTACTTCCTCAAAAAATGGCTTCTATTTTTTACTTAGCTTTAAATATTTGAAAACGTTATAAGTAATAATCACTTTTATAAAGATCTTTCCTGATGATGTTGGAGAAAAGAGGGATTCTGGTGTCAAGTGCTTTGCAAATCTATTCTTCTAATTATTAAATTGCATTCTTACAGTCACAGCTGGGTTAAAGGATTATGGGAGAGAATGCCAGATTTTTATTATATAAAGCTAGTGGGAGTTTTTGCAGCTGGGACCTAAGAAAAGTTTCCTGAAAAAAAAAAAAAAGGTTTGGCAACCAAGATGAGTCAAGACAGAGAACTTGTCTGGGGATTTGTGAGCAAGAGGGTGGGGCTGGCTTTGTAGGTTGGAAAAAAGACAAATAAAATGGGGGGGGGTTGTTGTAGAAAAAGGCAGCTGGGAGAGGTTTAGGGGTCAGATAAATGTTGGGGTGAAGATAAAATTTATGACTTCTGCTCCGTGATGCTTGTTGGGAAGCTGATGTGAGCTCTGGAATTCCAAACACATGAGATGTGACTCGAATACAGTCCAGCAGTTAATATCATCCAAAGTAAAATGTAAAAAATCCTAAGTTGGAAATCAACATATTTCAGAGGGTGTGGGTTTTTTTTTTTCTTCCTCTTGGTGGGTAATGAATAGAATTGTTTGGGGCCTTAATGGAAAGTACCCCCATCCTCCCTTTCTCTTTTTGACCATTCTTTGAATGCTGTTTTCTTGCTTCATACCTCAGGTCACATGGCCAGGTACACAGCCATCCTCAACCAGATCCCCAGCCACTCCTCATCCATCCGGACTGTCCAAGGGCCTCCTGGGGAACCTGGAAGACCAGGTTCACCTGGAACCCCTGGTGAGCAAGGACCCCCAGGTGCACCCGGCTTCCCAGGAAATGCAGGTGTGCCAGGGGCCCCAGGAGAACGAGGTAAGCTGGGCCACTGCTCTTATGGCAACTCCCCTGAGAAGGGGACAATGACACAGAGCATGGTACTTTTATGATGATAAATTCTGAAGTAATGGACCTAAATTCATTCTACCCCATCTATTCTTTTTATTTTTTGATGGTGGTGGTGGGGATTGAACCCAGAGCCTTGTGCATGCAAGGCAAGCATTCTACCAACTAAGCTATATCCCCAGCCCCTGCTCCATCTATTCTTCAATTTCTTGTTTATCTGTCCCTGAGTTGAGAAAATTGAGCAGTGTACAACACATTCATCAGGAGCCACATCTGTTTGTATGACACAGAAGGGTCAGAGCCCCAGCTCACCTCTAAGAGGCTTTTGAGTTCATGAAAAGAGATGTCCCCACTAGATGGATGAATTAAGAAGCTCCTTCTAGTGCTAAGAATTAGAAAATGCTCCCTCACTCTGGGTAGATGTGGCATCCTGTGTGTGTCATGGCGAGCCAGGAGCTCACTCTATACACAAATATGGTGCTTTGTGTGTGTGCACAATGCACAGATTGGGCAATAGCCAGTGGCAATCCTGAGAAGAGTCCCAATCATATCGACCTGTGACTCACACATCCCTGTATGGAACATACAGCTCTGAACTTTAAATTAAAATACGATGTACAGCTCATCTTCCTATAATATGAAGAAATACTTATTTAACAGTTTCTTGGCCAGTGCTTTATCTTTCTCACTGAAGTCTCTATAAAATAGAAATCTCCACTTCACCTTCTCTTTTACCATCCATGGCTCTTCAAAGTATTATATAACATATGATGTGACACTACATCATGTACAACCAGAGAATGAAAAGTTGTGCTGAAATGAAAATTGTGCAGAGAATGAAAAATTGTGTACAATGAATCAAAATGCATTCTGCTGTCATATATACTTAATTTAAATAAATTAATTAATTTAAAAAGTATTACATAACACAAAATAAGACACCTTTGACCAGGCATGGTGGTGCACATGTGTAATCTCAGGGACTCAGGAGGCTGAGGCAGGAAGATAGCAAGTTCAAAGTCAGACTCAGCAAAAGCAAGAGGGCACTTAGCAACTCAATGAAACCCTGTGTCTAAATTTAAATATATATATATATATATATATATATATACACACAAAATAGGGCTGGGGATATAGCTCAGTAGTTGAGTGCCTCTGAGTTTAATCCCAGGTACCAAAAAAAAAAAAAAAAAGACTCTGTTTGAATTTCACCTAGTTTCATTCATTGATCATTCCAGAAGCAGATTAAAAAAAAAAAAAAGATGTAGGAAGTTGGGGTCAAATATTAATCTTGGAGAAATGAGGGGCAAAATTGTCAGAGGTGAAAGTGTGGTCTGAGACACTATTTCTAGAACTTAGGTCTGGGAAAGCTGAGTGTTACCTGTCTTCTCTGCAAGTCATCCTGCATTTGTGGGAGGGGTGGAATTAATTCCCCTCATAAGATTTGGGATATGACTGGAGATAACAAAAAACGATATCTCACAGTCATCATTGACTCATGCCCGTAGGCCCTGTGCATTTCTGCCTCAGCTCTTTTGTACACAGTGTCTTTCCCCCCTGGGAAATGTCCTCTCCTCCCCTTATCTAGCATACATACATCTTATTCTTATGTCGGGGCTCAGCTTAACTCCTGTCTCATGCATATAGCTTTTCTTGATCATCCCAGTTTATGGAGACCTCCGCCCTGAACACCTGCTGCCTTTCCTGTCTCTCCCTTCCAATTTAGCGCCACTCTTCTTGTGGTAGTGAATGGCTAGTTTGCTGAACACGGGTCAAGTGTGAATTGCTCTACACAATGCTTTGCATTTATTAGGCACATGCTGGATGGCCATTGCTTTGATTATGATCCAGATATGATTTTTCTTTCTGGAGGTTTTTTCTAGTGTCAGGGCATAGAATCTGCAGACTAATGAAGGGTCTTATTCCCTCATAATGTGTCACAGACTTGGTTGCCTGGCAGGTGGCCCCCTCTGTCAGCAGAGTATCTCTGATGGTGTTGGGGATGGAGAAAGTGTGACTCGGGAAGCACAGAGCCAGCATCGGGGTCACCCCCGGCTGGTCACTAGCTGCCTTTGTTCCTTTTGGAGGTTGTAGCCCTGTTCTTATTGAATTGAGACTTTCCTGCTCTGTGAGATTGCTAAGTGAATAGATCTGAGAAAATCACGCAGTAGTTCTCAAAGAGTGGCCCAGACAACCACTGGAAATAGGAAATTCCATGATGTGATTTTCTTACCCACATGTAGGTAAAAATTCCCTAAGATGTAGAGGATAACAATAAGACAGAAAATGAGAGATGCCCTTTGAGTGTGGGGAAGGTGATTTTAATTGATAGATGATAGAGGGTGTTTGGAGATTGCTAAGTTGGGGTTTATAGGCCAGAGTCCAGCAGGCTCTTCATTTACAGCAAAGCCATTTTGGTCATAGCTGGGATTCATTTCTACAAGGTGTGCAGTGATGTTTTGCTCTTTGCCTTGTGCTCCAAACACCCTAGGAAGGATTGAGAGAGAAAAATATCTGTCTTTCCACTGAACCAAAAAAATAGACTTTTGCAAACAGAGGGCTTCAGCCATCCGTTCTTTTGAGACTCCAATTTTGCATAAAAAGATGCAGATGAAGTTATTGAGGCCAAAAGAGCTCAAAATCAGTTCATTGCCAGGACCATGTTTTTATTCTGCTGTGTACAGTATGATGCTACATAAAACAGTCTTAAGGAATGTGCCATTGAAATGAGCAAAAATAAGTGTTATTACTAGGCAAAACAGTAAAGTATAAAAGCAAGATTTAAAGGAGTATGACTGTATGTGTGGCTTAGCACTCACATGGACCTTACTTTCTGCTGAGGCTCCATGGGTTGCACTAGTTCCCCTACCAAGCTCATGACTCTACTCACACTGGCTAAATTTTCATCAGAAATGCACCAGCTGGTCTCTCTACTATCATTTTTTGAACTTTTAAAAACTTGATATATAGTAAAAAATGTAATGCAGAATGCTTATGAATCTGTGTGCATGTAAACGTATGCAACGGAGGCAAAAGAACTAACTATTATTGTGTCCTATTTTCTTCTTTCCTTCAAAGCTTTAGGGGAGATCTTGAATATTATGATCATGGTTTGAAAGGCACTATCCTGGTACAATATCTTTAACTCCATCTTTATAAGAGAAATGGCAATAGAATATGTGTTTAGAGAGCTGAAGAAAACTTACAGGCATCCCCTCCATCTTAGCAATGTAACACAGATGGCTTTTCATGATTCTCCTTATTACCAAATAGAGAGAATACAGTTTTTGCTCAGTCTGATTATCTCTCCTCATCAATCCTTTGTCTCTTTAATTTAAACAAACTCTTGTTTATAAGTTTGTGGGGAACAATCTCAGCTATCTTCTCACTGAGATTATAATACATAATCCTTAGAATGGAAAGATTCAGAGGGTACTTATGGCTTGTGCTGGTCAAGTTTTCTGTCTAAAGCTTGAACTCCAACTTGGATTTACCTAATTGCTGGTGCTCAGAATTTAAGAGGCTTAATTTGCATGATGTCATTGTTATGCAGCTTCATTTCTCACCTGCTTTTTCTTATCCTGTTAGTTTAAGTTCCTCCAGGGATTACTGTATTGGTTACTTCTTCCTAAACCTGGCACTGTCCTCAGATAAATAGTTTTTCATACCTGTGTCCTTGTTATCCCAAAATTCAGAAAAAGGGTATAATTAGCCCTAAAGTTCCTCCATTGTTCCTTGAACCTAGTGATGGCTCTTCTTTACCTCAGATCCTTCTCCAGTCATGGTCTTGGATAATCCTAACTAGATCCCCTTCATAATAGACCCATTTTTTTGGTATTTTTGTATTCTTTTTAGTTATACGTGACAGTAGTTATACGTGCATTTTGACATGTTATATATACATGAATATAACTTCCTATTCTTGTGGTTATATGTGATGTGGAGTTTCACTGGTCATGTATTCATATATGAACAGAGGAAAGTTATGTCTAATTAATTTCACTGTCTTTCCTATAAACATCCCCCCTCCCTTCCCTTCATTTCCCTTTGTCTAATCCAACGAACTTCTATTCTCTCTCCACTGTTATTGTGTGTTAGCATTCACATATTAGAGAGAACATTCAGCCTTTGGTTTTTGAGGATTGGCTTATTTCACTTAGCCTGATAGTCTCCAGATCCATTCATTGACTGGCAAATGTCATAATTTCATTCCCATTTTTTTTTAAATTAGTTTTTCTTGGTGCATTAAGATTGTACATAATAGTGAAATTTGCTGTGACATATTCGTACATGCATATAACATAATTTGGCCAATTACATTCTGCACTACCTCCCCTTTCCTCTCCTACCTCCCCCTGGTTCCCTTCCTTTACCCCTCTGGAACAGCTCCATTTCTAATTCCAACTCTGCACATCATTCCCACATGATTCATCTGTTCATTTCCTTACACTGTTTATTTAAAATGTTCATTATTCACACTACTATCTTGAACTAAAATTAACCAAGTTGACAATGAGTTTGTCGGTCTGTAGCTCACAAAATTAACTTTATATTTACTTGAAAAGAAAAAGAAAGTACTCCTGATTTCTGTCTTCATGCAACTCCTTCAGTTTCAATGATTCTTCAAAAATTATTGGATCAGAGGCACCATGCAACTGAAGGTTTTCATTTTTAGGTTGTCCACCCATAACAGCTGGAATTCATATCTGGTTTGTTTTGTGCAGTAAATCAGCAAATATGTATTGAATGCAGGGCTTATGTAAGGCTTTTTGGCTTGGCCATATGTGAGATAATACCATTATTTGTGGCTTTCACTTATTAGGCACCAAATGCATTTGCCAACTACTGTACTCAATTCTATGTTCGTACTATCTCATTTGGAGAAAATAAAAGACATAGTTTGATAAAGAAGAAATATGGACTGTTTCTGAATGTTCAAGGTGGGAGATAGTAAATGTTATGTGAGTTAG